GGGGGGGCCCTAGAATAATGTCTAGAGATTTGAGCCTTTAAATATGGGTTTCCTTTTCTTTGCCTTTTGATTTGCTTTACTCACCCTCTATTCCTTATTTACTTTTCCTAAGCTCTTTAGTTGTGAAGCTTTCCAAAAGTTTCCACAAGTCAGTGCGCACTTTCTCTATAAACACCCTTATTCAAAAGTATTGAAAAACAAAAAAATCAATCAAGCAAAGGGGGGTAGTCCAGCAAGCAGCTTTCTGACATTATTTAGGGGGGGCCCCTAGAATAATATCTAGAGATTTGAGGCTTTAAATCTTTATTCCTTTTCTTTGCCTTTTGATTTGCTTTACTCACCATCTATTCCTTATTTACTTTTCCTAAGCTCTTTAGTTGTGAAGCTTTCCAAAAGTTTCCACAAGTCAGTGCGCACTTTCTCTATAAACACCCTTATTCAAAAGTATTGAAAAACAAAAAAATCAATCAAGCAAAGGGGGTAGTCCAGCAAGCAGCTTTCTGACATTATTTAGGGGGGGGCCTAGAATAATGTCTAGAGATTTGAGGCTTTAAATCTTTATTCCTTTTCTTTGCCTTTTGATTTGCTTTACTCACCCTCTATTCCTTATTTACTTTTCCTAAGCTCTTTAGTTGTGAAGCTTTCCAAAAGTTTCCAAAAGTCAGTGCGCACTTTCTTTATAAAATCCCTTATTCAAAAGTATTGAAAGAACAAAAAAATCAATCAAGCAAAGGGGGTAGTCCAGCAAGCAGCTTTCTGACATTATTTAGGGGGGGCCCCTAGAATAATGTCTAGAGATTTGAGGCTTTAAATCTTTTTTCCTTTTCTTTGCCTTTTGATTTGCATTCAAGCAAAGGGGGTAGTCCAGCAAGCAGCTTTCTGACATTATTTAGGGGGGGCCCCTAGAATAATGTCTAGAGATTTGAGGCTTTAAATCTGTGTTTCCTTTTCTTTGCCTTTTGATTTGCTTTACTCACTCTCTATTCCTTATTTACTTTTCCAAAGCTCTTTAGTTGTGAAGCTTTCCAAAAGTTTCCAAAAGTCAGTGCGCACTTTCTTAATAAAATCCCTTATTCAAAAGTATTGAAAAACAAAGAAAAGTTAGTTCTTTGTCCATTGATTCATTCCCTTTTATTCTAATTAATATTCCAGATGTCTTCAAAGTTAGGTTTCTTAATTCCTTCTATTTTAATATTGCCAGAGTAGCTCCAGAGGTAGCTAGCTAAGGATTCCTTATTTAATTATCAATTGATTGATTTTCTTATATATTATATTGGAGGCCTTGGTTGTTGAGGGGGGGGGGGGGGGGGTTTATAA